TTGCTGGCTGTCTTGATGCTTCTGCCTGTACACAGAAGCAAATGGTGACACCACACAGAAGCTCTGTACAAAGAGGAAGTGGCTGGAGCTGCTCGGCCCTAGTTCTTTATTATTTCGCTGTGTATCCTGGGATAGAAGAATCTCCACTGCTTCTCCCCCAATGCCCAGTTAACACTTAATAAATGCTTTACTAACACACCATAAATGCTATAGGAGCTGTTACGGAGTGGTTACAGAGCGTTACCATTGAAATCAAGGGACAAGCGTTGATCTCTCATGAAAGCGACATGCTGCTTAATTTTTCACACAGCACAGTGCTACCACTCTTGTGTGAACAGGACTGTGTGGTACCCCATTTAACATTCATGGCAGGTGTTGAAGGGTAGTTATGAGCCTTTAAAAATGCTGAATAAATGCGACGTAAGCACAGGGTATTGCCGCACATGTAAATAAGTCCTAAGACATTTATTATCCCATAGAGGTGTCTACTCATTATAAGAACACTTTAATAGTTGAAGTAATGCATTTAGTTTTATGTCATTCAGTTAAGAGATACTTTAGTACTTGGTCATTTGAATTTGAGATTATTACATAATTTGGCCTTTAGATGGCACTGTTTTTCTGTTTACTATTAGTGAAGAGTGTTAATCCCCTAGCAGGTTTTTACATTTTCAGGAACTCTGGAGGCCTCAGCTCTTGAGCCCCCAGGTCTAGGGAGTCCCACCACTCCCTGGATATGCCTTTTATTATTACATTTTCAACACAGCTGTACTAGCAAGAGGTGAGAAGCCAAAGTGCAGCAAGCTGTTATGGGGCAGCCTGCTGCTGGGGTCAAATGGAGGTGTAGCCTCAATGACACTTTGGTTGTGTGAATACATTAATAAAATACCCAGCTTTACAACTTACATAACTGTTCATTCTGGTGAGTCTGAAAGTGTGCATCAGATGCAGCAGGATGTTTTTGACTACATTTAGAAGAATAGTGATGCTCATTTATCAAAACAATAACATTGCCATATGTGCTTTGGTTTCTGAGTGGGATGGAAGTGTATTTCACTACCGGATGAGACAGGAGGATGAATAAGGCCTAAGGGTGTCCTTATTCCTCATAAGATTTGTAAGTAGTACTGCAGATTTACAAACGATACAAGTTTGTGTACTGTCTGTGATATTTTAGGAGGTAGCTAATGAGTGAATATAAGCCCTTGCACTACTGTATTTATTTTCCACCTCCAGTCCATGTTAAAATGTAGTAGTCTCAATAGAAAAGGTAAGGACACCACACAACTGAAAACTGGCAGATCTTCTATGAACTCCTATACCTTCGTAAAAGGCCTGCCTGTACACATGCAGTCTAAAGATATCTATAGGATTCAGACAATCAAGCTGCATATTATACCTCTTTTCGAACGTTCTTGAGAGAAAAAGCTATGAGATGTGCTGGATATTTTTAGCCAATCATTGTGGTTTGTTCTGAGGTATGCCAATGCAGAGTTTAGGGTGTGTTAACCCTTTTTCTTACACCAATAAACACAAATACTCAAGAAATTCAAGTATGCTTGTTTATGGAAAGATCCTTCAAAAGAAGATTCTTTCAGCAGTTACTGTATATCATGCCAGCTACCCTCCTGTACCTTTACCAATTTAAGTCATGGCTTTGTGACCTACTGAACTTCTAAAAATATATTCCCGTATAATAAAAACTTGTTTCCTCCATTATCCAATCGCTGAAGCACAGTTGTCCTGTCACTAGTACACTCACATATACATCTGAAGGCCTGAATCAGACATAGCTGATTAGAGAATAAATACAGCTTTATAGATTAAAGTAGTTGATTTGTGGAATGGAGTCCCAGCGGACAATACAGACTGGAGAGTTAAAGGCAGCATGGGATCTACCACCTATAATTTAATCCATGAAGATTAACAAATTGCGTAACCTACAGCCATTAAATTCTACCCTGAAGCGGTTAAACATATTTATTATATCTATCTGAAAAGTACGGGAACGGGGCGATATTCTCAGCGAGCTATCATCTCAAAAGTAATTGACAAAGGGGTGGAGGGCTGAACGTAGCTTGAAATGAGTTTGTCAATTCTCTGTGCCTGCCGTACATGTCTGCAGAGGGGGCAGTTTATGAGCATAGCCTTTCTTACCCGACATACTTCATTGAGAATCATGCACTATGACAGCCCCGAAGGTCACAGCAGAATTTATTTAGCACACACCGCTCAACGAGATCTTTATTCACATTTCTGTCCTGTGGAAATGAGCAGCAACCATTTTTAAACTGATTTATGGGGATAATTCATGCTCGACTTGGTTGTATTTCAAGACATTTAATATGCTTTCCATGGTGTATATTTAAGTACCATGGCTTAATAATGTTGTTTTTTTATTATATATTTATTTCCAGCTGCTGGAGCTGTACGTCTCGCCACGCTGTAAATGCTCAGCGGCATTTTATAAGTGTTTAGTGAAGTATCTTCATAGAGAAAACAAGGAGTGTTCGTATAGATATAGTCTCTGCAGTGGACAGGTCCCTTGCCAAAAGTAACCAGATCCTTCTCCATACTGCACCAGATACTTGAAAGGAAAATTGATTTAACCAACAAGAATGGTGCTTTCTTCACACATTGTTCTGCATGAGGTCCATTTCCCTTGTAAGCAAGAATGCGGTCTTTATAATACTACAGTTTATAGTGCATTTACATTTTGCGATCAAAATCCAGCAATTAAAGTTAAAATACTTTTCAGCTGAAGTAAAGACAAGTTTTAGTGATCCCATCACAGGACGCTATACCTAGCTAATGCATTTAGCTTGCTGGCCTATAATGGCTCCTAGCACTATTGTTGGGTTCAGCTTAATAGAAAACATCTACTTGCTTGTCAAATCCTAAAATATGAATGTTTTATTTATATTTATGAAGATTCTTATTCTATTTGAATGAATTTGCTGATGTTTAGCTTGTTTTGCTCCTGTGTACCTTATAATTTAGCATGCAAGACTGTGAATATACTATATCTCTTTTATGCCTTCTGATGCAGTTATTAGAACTAATGGTATAAAAACAATACTCTTTACAAGGTATTGAAGCTATGGGCGAGTTTGAAGTTACATTTGCCATTCTCTTTGGCCGCTTGACAAGAAATAATTAATTTTGGTGGAAATAGATCCTTATCCTTGCATCCTTTACATAAATGTCTATGGATGGCTCTATCCTGAAGAGTGACGTCTTATTGGACACATAATCTATAATGGTCAGAGCCTGCTATAGATTAGTGCTCATGTCATGACATCCATTGTGATCCACTTTAAGGCTGATCTCCCATACTCCCACACATTACACAGGCCTGTACAAGAGGTATTCATTGTTAATTAGAAACACAATCCATACAATTATACTAAATAAGCTGCCTTTCGCCTAATACTCCAGTTGTCATTAATGGTTGCAAGTAAAGCCACATCTCGAAATATAACCAGTTTTAATGTCATGTCTAATTTAGCTGATTGAACTCATTTGCTGTACTGTGGTTAAATGTGGCACAATGACTGTTTTATAACCTTGAGTTAAATATAGAACTAGCTGTATATATACATATATATATACATACACACACACACTATATTGTCAAAAGTATTGGGATGCCTGCCTTTACACACACAAGAACTTTAATGGCATCCCAGTCTTACTCCGAAGTGTTCAGCATTGAGTTTGCCCACCCTTTGCAACTATAACAGCTTCAACTCTTCTGGGAAGGCTGTCCACAAGGTTTAGGAGTATGTCTATGGGAATGTTTGAGCATTCTTCCAGAAGTGCAATGTGAGGTCAGGCACTGATGTCAGAGGAGAAGGCCTGGCTCGCAGTCTCCGCTCTAATTCATCCCAAAGGCGTTCTATCGGGTTGAGGTCAGGACTCTGTGCGGGCCAGTCAAGTTCCTCCACCCCAAACTCGCTCATCCATGTCTTTATGGACCTTGCTCTGTGCACTGGTGTGCAATCATGTTGGAACAGGTAGGGGCCATCCCCAAACTGTTCCAACAAAGTTGGGGGCATGAAATTGTCCAAAAATATCTTGGTATGCTGATGCCTGAAGAGTTGCCTTCGCTGGAACTAAGGGTCCAAGCCCAACCCCTGAAAAACAACCCCACACCATAATCCCCCCCTCCACCAAACTTTACACTTGGCACAATGCGGTCAGGCAAGTACTGTTCTCCTGGCAACTGCCAAACCCAGACACGTTTATCAGATTGCCAGACCGGGAAGCATGATTCATCACTCCAGAGAGCACATCTCCATCGCTCTAGAGTCCAGTGGTGGCATGCTTTACGCCACTGCATCCGACGCTTTGCATTGCACTTGGTGATGTAAGGCTTGCGTGCAGCTGCTCAGCCATGGAAACCCATTCCATGAAGCTCTCTACACACTGTTGTTGTAATCTGAAGGCCACACAAAGTTTGGAGGTCTTTAGCTATTGACTCTGCAGATAGTTGGCGACTTCAGCATGATCTGACCATGCTCTGTCATTTTACCTGGCCTACCACTTCGTGGCTGAGTTGCTGTTGTTCCCAATTGCTTCCACTTTGTTATAATACCTCTAACAGTTGACCGTGGATTATTTAGTAGCAAGGAAACTTCACAGATGGACTTATTGCACAGGTGGCAACCTATCACCCCACACTATAATCCCCCCAATCTTTACACTTGGCACAATGCAGTCAGGCAAGTACCATTCTCCTGGCAAACCCAGACACATCCATCAGCTTGCCAGACAGAGAAGCGTGATTTGTCACTCCAAAGAACATGTCTCCACTGCACTAGAGTCCAGTGGTGGCCTGCTTTACACCACTGCATCCAATGCTTTGCATCGCACTTGGTGATGTAAGGCTTGGATGCAGCTGCTCAGCCATGGAAACCCATTCCATGAAGCTCTCTACGCACTGTTGTTGTGCTAATCTGAAGGGCACACAAAGTTTGGAGGTCTTTAGCTATTGGCTCTGCATACAGTTGGCGACTTCTGCACACTGTGTGCTTCAGTATGTGTTGACCCCACTCTATTTTTTACGTGGCCTACCACTTTGTGGCTGAGTTACTGTTGTTCCCAGTTGCTACCACTTTGTTATAATACCACTAACAGCTGACCGTGGAATATTTAGTAGTAGCTAGGAAATTTCACAGATGGACTTATTGCACAGATGGCAACCTATCAGGGTACCTCGCTTGAAATCACTTAGCACCTGAGAGCGACCCATTTTTTCGCAAATGTTTGTAGAAGCAGTCTGCATGCCTAGGTGCTTGATTGTATACACCTGTGGCCATGGAGGTGATTGGAACACCTGAATCAAATGATTTGGAGAGCTAGCCCAATCCTTTTTGCAATATAGTGTGTGTGTGTGTGTGTGTGTATACATATATACAGTATATATATGGAAAGCATATAAAGCATATACAGTGCAAGTACTAGGATGAAGAAGCCAAACTGCGCCTCTGATTCTCTTCTGCAGTTGTGATCCCACTCTCAGATGCCACCTCGCTTACCTCATCTTTCCACATAGACCCAAAAGTACGCAGTGATGATGTTTTATTTTTTGCTGTGTGTCCTCTTCTATTCTCCTTGTGCCAACTGAAAACGCTGCACTAGACTAGCCAGAGGCAAAATTAAAGGCAGGACATTCATGCAAAGGTTTGACTAGAAATCTAGAATTTTGGAATAGAGAACATACAGCATAGTATTTGCAATAAGGTAGTGGTGATAGGGGACATACATCATGATATATGAAATGATGTGGTAGAGGGAGAATGCATAACATGGTATATAGAGAACAAACAGCATGGCATATGAAATGAGGTGGTCTGGAATAGGTATAGCATGTTATAAGGACTAATGTAGGCCATACATAGGTCAAATTCCGAACAAATTTACTTTAGAATATTTTGTGCGTTTTGTAATCCGATGGTGCCACCATTGATTTCGAAATTTGACCAACCAAGCCTTCAGTTTCTCCTCATGTTGCTAAAGAATTTTCTTTTCTTTCCAGGTCACAGCTTTATATTTCTCCCATCATTAATTTGAAGTTCGCTAGTTTTTTAAAAAATTTCCAACATGCTCGATCACTAAAATTCAATGGTCACAAGCAAATCGTCCGTTTCTGTGACCCACTAATGGTGCGAATTTCAAATGAAAATTCTTAGAACAGATTTTCGAATAAAAATTATTTTGGAATTCAACCCGTGTATGGCCGGCTTTATGAATCACAAAATAGAGAACATACAGAATGAGGTTTGGCGCCTCAGGAAATTGAATGAGGGTGTACAGAACGGGGGAGTATACAGCATTGCATATGGAATGAGGGGTTGTGAAATAAGGAACGTATAGCATGGCATATAAAATAAGGTGTTGTGCCAAAGGGAACATACATCAGAGTGAGACAGTAGAGAGTAGTTACAAAGCACCTTTAAAATGGCTTACTTCTGCTGCTCAGGCTGACCATCCAGACCTCCATTTGGGTGGGGGACACCAGGAATGGGAAGTGCTTGGCGGAGGATCTCTGGTTCTACCAAACGCACAGTTCCCACTGACCCCATCAGTTCACGCTGCTCACCTGACTGCAACAGTCCTTTGTAAACACAGGAGCTGGCAGAGAAAGTCTTTTACTACTCGCTTCCTTTGCCACACTCTACAATAAATGTCATCAGTCAGATCTGCAGAAAAAGCAAGTAGTGAAAGACTGCCTCTGCTAGCTTCTGTGATTCATGGATGAGCTGTCAGGTCCTGTTATGGAGATCTGGAAGTGGTTGGCACCCCCCTCCCACTCCCAACTTGACAATACTGGGCCCCTTTCCCTTCTTTTCCCAGCTCTGGCTATATATACGAAACCTATAAGTACACACACACACAATGTTTTACTGTTGTCCCACATTATTATAATTATGGTGGTGTTTTTCAGTTTACAGATAATACAGAGACCAAGCATGACTCTGCTATATTAGGGACGGGAACCCTGGATCTTTTTGCAGAGGAGAAGGAAACAGATATTGGTACTATCCCAACTGCTATCAAGTACTTGGATGATAACTCAGTCGCACACCCAAATGTAAGTTGTATCATAAACTTTGTTCAGAATGAACACAGAGCCATTAACTGTGCACCAGTGAATAATCCTAAAATTCATATAGCCTATTAACGTATCTCCCTGTTAAATGAGGATGTTAAAATACTTGCTTCAAATGTATTAAACTTTCTAAAGTGATTTATAATGGCTCATGGTTTTATAGTGGTTCATAATTGAACCCGATCAGTTTTTATGCCCCACAAAATACATATACCAATATATGAAGGCTGTACCTAGATATTAAAAGAGAAGTATGATACAAGCTTTTTTTTGGCCATGCTCCTTTTGTGGGTCACAGGAGCGCACTTAATTTTGTATCCTGGGGTCAGCTTTTAGCAGGCTATTGCCTGCTGTCAGCTGACAGCAGAACCACTCCAGGCTCTGGAAAGATCCTGATAACATTGTCAGGTTCCATTCAGCTGCAAGATTGATAGCTTGCTCTGGCTGTCAGCATGCTTCTGAGAGGCAAAGCAAGCTACACCTGCCCCCTCTCCAGACTGGAGGAGCAGAGCAGAAAGAGGCAACTGACAGTCACAACTCTCCCCTCTGTGCAGACCAAAAACTAGATGATTAGGGGTCATGTGATCACTCAGTTCTCAGTCATAGAGATGATGCAGGGCAGCTGCAGCAGCATACTGATGCTGCAACATAAAGGTAGGTATGTGTGTTTATTTTTTATATACTCCAAATTTCAACATTGGAAGCTATCGTTAGATGCTACCATGGTTATGATTACCCACCTTTTCCAGTGGAAAGTGTAGGCTTGGAAGTCCTATACATTTACCATTTCTCAGTAGCATCCCTTTTGTGTCATAGCTCCCTTGACTACTGACATGTTCACCACTGCCAAACTCAAAAAGGGGGCATTCACCCTGGACTTCAAAGCTTTAAATGCTGTCATTAGTGTATGGAAATTCCTGATATAAATCGACAAGATTGTTTATTGCCTCTCTGCATCAAGGGGACTTTCTGGCCCGCTTACATGAACCAGTTTTTTTTTCAGTGCATCAAAACTTGGTGTTTTGCAGTGGGTCTCCTACACTGGGTCTCCTACACTATTAGTTGATGGCCCCTTCCATACAACCTGTCTTCAACACATCAAGTGTTCACCAAGCTTCCAGTATTGCTTTCCTACACACCAATTGTGTCCAGATTGTTAGCTAGACAATCTTAACTTGGCGTAACAGTCATTTGGGGCTGTGGTGTGTCCCCGACTGTCCAGATATTACAAACCTTTAGATAGATCCTGTTGAATGCTAAACCTTAAAAAGCCATTGTTGATTTTACCCATCATTTGAAGTATCTGGTGCTGTTCCAAGGAATTTACTGGTCCAGATTGTTCTTTCCACAGGAGAAATTTCAGATACACCAGTCTCAGGTTTATTCGCTTCAGTCCAGGAGCAGTTTGTCTCCACTTGTGCATTAGAGTTTTGGGACTGATGATGGACTCCTTTGAAGCAGTTCCATTTAATGAATTTGCAATGCAACTGTCTGTCATTGTGGGACAAGTTAGTCCTGCCTCTACACAGACCAGTTAATTTGATACCAAGGACCAGGCTGTCTGTCCTTGTGCATTCGGAATTTGTCTCTGACATTGGGGAATCCTTCCCTTCCTTTTTGAAAGGTTTTGATGATGAACACCAGCCTGTGACTTTTGGGAGGAGTCATGGGCACTTTGTTGGTGCAAGGGACTTGATCGTTGATGGAATCTCATCACTAGTTAAATCTCCCAGAGGTCCAGGTAATTTGGTTTCTCCAGAATTGGGCTGACCCAATTTTTATCATCCTGGATGGGCTTAGCAAGAGCACCCTGGCTTCTAGTTCCACCATTTCTAAGTAGCTCAGAGAGACCATCGTGCAAGAATATGGTCCCAAGGATCCCCCTCCCTCCCTTTCCAGCCAAGGCTTACTCCACCAGGGCTGTCATTATTTCTTGGATGTTTCAGCACCAGGCCTCTGTTTCCCAGGTTTGCAAGGACATTTCAGCCTTTTCTGATGCCATCTTCAGGTGTAATGTACTTTATGGGGGCTATTTAAAGAATAACTACAGAAGACCAATTACAGACAGCCCTGTAGGCTGTGCCGTTATGTTCTCTCAATCTCCTGAGACCTACTCAACTGTACATTCTGCTGCATACCCACTAATGCTTTTTAAAATTGGCCCCTCCCAGGGCCCAAGGAACATGGGTATTTTATACACCTATTGTGGTATTGTCCCAAACTACATCTCTACTGGGTGCGGGTGTTGAATACCCTAAACAAAGTATATACAGTTCCTTGAAAAAGTATTCATACCCTTGTGGAAATTTTCCACATTTTGTCATGTTACAACCAAAAACATAAATGTATTTTATTGGGATTTTATGTGATTGACCAACACAGAATGGCACGTAATTGTGAAGTGGAAGGAAAATAATGGTTTTCCAAATTTTTTTCCAAATAAATATCTGAAAAGTGTGGCATGCACTTGCAGAGACTAACTAGTTTTCTTCTAGCTTCCCTGTCTCTGCTGAAGAAAAGCATCCCCACAACATGATGCTGCCACCACCATGTTTTACGGTGGGGATGGTGTGTGTTCAGGGTGATGTACAATGTGAATTTTCCGCCACACATAGCATTTTGCTTTTAGGTAAAAAAAGTTAAATTTTGGTCTCATCTGACCAGAGCACCTTCTTCCATGTTTGCTGTGTCCCCCACCTGGCTTCTCGCAAACTGCAAACGGGATTTCTTAAGGCTTTCTTTCAAAAATGCCTTCCTTCTTGTCACTCCTCCATAAAGGCCAGATTTGTGGAGTGCATGACTAATAGTTGTCCTGTAGACAGATTCTTCCACCTGAGCTGTGGATCTCTGCAGCTCCTCCAGAGCTACCATAGGCCTCTTGGCTGCTTCTCTGATTAATGCTGTCCTTGCCGACCTGTCAGTTTAGGCGGACAGCCATGTCTTAGTAGGTTTTCAGTTGTGCCATACTCTTTCCATTTTTGGATGATGGATTGAACAGTGCTCTTTGAGATGTACAAAACTTGGGATTTTTTTTATAACCTAATCTCACTATAAAATTCTCCACAACTGTATCCCTGACCTGTCTGGTGTGTTCCTTGTCCTTCAAGATGCTATTTGTTCACTAATGTTCTCAAACAAATCTCTGAGGGCTTCACAAAACAGCTGTATTTATACTGAGATTAAATTACACACAGGTTGACACTATTTACTAATTAGGTGACTTCTGAAGGCAATTGGTTCCACTAGATTTTAGTTAGGGGTATGAGAATGAAGGGGGCTGAATACAAATGCATGCCACACTTTTCAGATATTTATTTGTAAAAATTTTGAAAACCATTTATCATTTTTCTTCCACTTTACAATTATGTGTGTTGGTTTATGACATAAAATCCCAATAAAATGCATCTACCTTTTTGGTTGTAACATGACAAAATGTGGAAAATTTCAAGGGGTATGAATACTTTTTCAATGCACTGTACTATACGTTCAATATACAGGCTGGCCCAAAACAATGTATCTTGGGTATACTGGTTTCCCTGGAGTTGTAAGCATTCCCCAGAGAGGCCATTTCTGGAGCCCTATTGCAGGCCCACAAGCTCATTTTAGTGCAATGGAAGTCCGAAAAACCCACCTACAAAAAATCAAATGGTTAAAGTATGTTGGTGACACCCTTTGTTTAGAGTGTTATATACACTATATTGTCAAACGTATTGGGACACCCCCAAAATCATTGGATTCAGGTGTTCAATCACTTCCATGGCCACAGATGTATAAAGAAAAGCTCCTAGGCATGCAGACTGCTTCTACAAACATTTGTGAAAGAATGGGTCGCTCTCAGGAGCTCAGTGAATTCAAGCATGGTATGGTGATAGGTTGCCACCTGTGAAATAAGTCCATCTGTGAAATTTCCTTGCTACTAAATATTCCACGGTCAACTGTTAGTGGTATTATAACAAAGTGCAAGCAACTGGGAACAGCAGCAACTCAGCCACAAAGTGGTAGGCCATGTAAAATGACAGAGTAGGGTCAGCGCATGCTGAATTGCACAGTGCGCAGAAGTCGCCAACTGTCTGAAGAGTCAATAGCTAAAAACATCCAAACTTCGTGTGGCCTTCAGATTAGCAGAACAGCGCGCAGAGAGCTTCATGGAATGGGTTTCCATGGCCGAGAAGCTGCAACTAAGCCTTATATCATCAAATGCAATGCAAAGTGTTGGATGCAGTGGTGTAAAACACGCCACCACTCGACTTTAGAGCAGAGGAGACGTGTTCTCTGGAGTGAGGAATCGCGCTTCTCTGTCTGGCAATCCGATGGATGAGTCTGGGTTTGGCGGTTGCCAAAGCTGTACTTGCCTGACTACATTGTGCCAACTGTAAAGTTTGGTGGATGGGGGATTATAGTGTGGGGTTGTTTTTCAGGGGTTAGGCTTGGCCCCTTAGTTCCAGTGAAGGCAAGTCTTAAGGCATCAGCATAGCAAGACATTTTGGACAATTTCATGCTCCCAACTTTGTGGAAACAGTTTGGGGATGGCCCCTTCCTGTTCTAGCATGACTGTGCACCAGTATACAAAGTAGTTTGGGGTGGAGGAGCTAAGGTCCTGCACAGTGTCCTGACCTCAACCCGATAGAACACCTTTGTCATGAATTAGAGCAGAGACTGTGAGCTAGGCCTTCTCGTTGGACATCAGTGCCTGACCTCACGAATGTGCTTCTGGAAGAATTGTCAACCAATCCCATAGAGAAACTCCTAAACCTTGTGGATGGAATTCCCAGAAGAGTTGAAGCAGTTATAGCGGCAAAAGGTGAGCCAACTCAATGTTGAACTCTACCGACTAAGTCTGGGATGCCATTAAAGTTCATGTGCGTGTAAAGGCAGGCGTTTCAATATTTTTGTCAATATAGTGTATTATCAGCACAGAGGTTGCCTTGACAAAATTGACAAAATGTGGCTGGACACACCAGGCCTGAGTCCTATGGACCTAGTAATTAGTAGGCTGAGGATTTATGGTGGAAATGCTGACTTTAATTAATATTCTGACTGTATTTTGAGGTTGTCTCCATATGTCTCAGTATGATCTATAACCATAAGATTTGCAAGTGTATCTCTCGTCTTGTGATAACACCTGACAAAATGTACTGGGATTTTTATCCTTTTGTATACTGTGCTGTGCTATGACTACTCTGGATTTGTACCAAAATTTCTGTAAAAGCTTTGTAATAAAGTTCCTTGCTAACTTAACAAAAATCAGCTTCAGTCATTAAAAAACATTAAAAAGCAGCTACAAATACCATAGCTGATGAGTTATAAAACAGTAACTCACCTGCCCAGGAGTCCAGCTCTGTCTTTGCCAGTCTTTGGATCCCCAGTGCCTCCACCCTGGCTGTGAAAAGCTGGCTGTGACTTCCTGCTGTTTAACAGCCATCCCCCCACTGCTCATGCGCGAGTTGTATATTTTTAGTTTCAATTTTCTAAACTACACTCAAAAATTAGAGAAAGAAAGAATAAGGAAAATCAAATCAAGGAATCTAATCTGTTGCTTTGTGGACTGCCTCCATTTATCTGTTCTGTATTTAAAATAAGGTCTGTTCATACATTTTTATTTCAGAGTGTAACATGCTTGGTGCCAAACAGTAGACCTTTGTTTCCAGTATCTGTCTTTTTATATTTGACCAATACATCTAATTAACATTTTTTTTCCTCTACAGCTGTACATTGAGAAGGCTGAAGCTGAGGAAAAATGGTTTAAAAGATTGACTTCTCTGCGAAATGAGAAACTGATGGGAAGCCCAGTAGCATGAACAGTGGCATTACAGAGTCACCTTCATATTATGATGTTTTTACTGCTTTGTCATTCCTACAACCTCATTTTTATAAAATAATAAATGTGGGTAACATTAGACTAGTGTGTTTCATTAGACTTTGGAAATAGTATATACTGTACTTACCTGTTGGAGACTATTCATTTTCTGCCTACACTTATTTTTTTTTTTCTATAATGTTTTTATTGAGTTTTACAAACAGAAAAGAAGCGCAAAGACATGGCCACATAAAATGTGTATGGGTACAGTGAAGTAGCATAGATTGTGATATCATCACAAAATCGTAGCATAAAATCAATAGAGTTATAATGAGCTATCATATGTATGGTATATACATTTTCTAATTTGAACTTCCAAAGTAGCAAAAGAAGTATGTTTTACACAGTTACATAAGCTTAAAAATGTTTCCACCGGATGTAAATAAAATGACAGAGTGTACGAGTCTCGAGCCATCAATATTATCTAATTAGCCATTGTACTTTGAATACAATAGTGTATCTGAGCAACAAAATAATGGGAGAGAAAGTGGTGATCACTCTCCCATAGGCCTAACATTTGACCCAAGAGATGGAAAACCCCATCCTACAGCATAATGTTTGCTACCAAAACAGGCATAGAGCAAACCAAAAAAAACTAAGGAAAGAAAAAAAAAAAAAAAAAGCAGTAAAGGTGTATAAGAACAAAAGAAGGGCAAACCATAATATATAAAATAGTTGCAAGGAGGTAGAAAAGTGAGTGAAAAGAAAAAAAAGGGGGGGGTAGTGAGGCAGGAAGGCCAGAGGGGGAAAAGAGAAGGGTGTTATTAGGACAGGGGTTAAAATGAAGGAAACTATTGGAGTATGCAGGAGATTACCATTCCAAGAGAGAAAGGCAGCCAAGTGCAAGGACTTTAAAACCAAAGATCCTGTCCAGAAAGTTGAAGGGGTGTAGAGGTGATCTGAGAAGTGTTAGGATTCTCCTCCGTTGACCATCTGTCCCTTGGTTGGCCCTTCTGCGATTGTAATTGAAATTCATAGAATTTTTGGCTTCACAAACATCCACATATTAACCTCCCTGGCGGTATGATTATTTCAGATTTTTGGTGCTGAAAGCGGTACCATTATTTTGCATGGAAATTTGGCGTTTTATATTGTAGGCCTGTAATTCATAGGGATAGCTCACTGAAATCTGTCCGAACAAGAGTCTAGTAAACATCCCGGGTATGATAAAACTTGAAACACGAAATCATAAATTATAATTTAATAAATAATCACAAAAAAATAATCTAATATTAATACATTTAATTCAATAATATAATCAAACCAGAAACACTGAAATTTGAACTATAGCGCCAAGTTCGCACATCACTGAGCAAAGTCGCAAAATTGTTTTCAGCGTCTGATGACAAATTTCCCCACGAATCATCACTCAATTCTGCAAGTGGTTCTAATTTACTATCGCTGTTCTCTAGCTGGTCTAAAACTGCTTTTGGCCTAAAGGGATGCTTTTTGGACGCCATGGACGTTTCTCAGTTTCCAGGCAGAAAGAAAAAATGCAGGACAAACAAAGCACTCGGGACAAAATGTATGTGAAATGGTTTGATACAGTAATGTTTTACTATGTGATTTTAGTGAATGTCACTTTTTGTCATTTTCAAATTTCCCGCCGTTCCGTCCCCTGTACGTTCCGATGCTCGCAGGGGACGGAACCCAGATAACAGATGCCGGCATACGCCGGATTACATTGCCGGGGACACTGCAGGAGGGACATCGCGGGAGCGCAGGACAAGGTAAGTGATCGAGGGATCGTGGAGCAGCACCGCATGGTATTCCCAAGTGTAGCTTGGGGTTACCGCTTGTGGTACTGAAACTTTACCCCGAGCTACACTCTGGAATACCGCCAGGGAGGTTAATGATTGCTCTTGCAAATTTAAAGCAAAAATTCACTTCCCACCACAACCTTCTGGGACATGTCATAGGTCACAGAAGGCTGCAGGACCATTCACAATGCACATGCACAGTGGAAAGCCAACTGTGAAGACACAAGGAGTCATAGCTGTCTTCTCACAGTTAATATTTTGGCATTTGGGAATCCAAAGAACGGCTAAGAACCACTCGGTTGAAGATGGTGCTGGATCTCTGGACAGGTAAGTATCCTTTGCTGACTTTTAATTTTTTTTTTCAAACAGGGTAAAGAGAAAAACCTCTTTAATTGACAGTATTAGAAATATTGTTTTGTTATTTCTCGACAGCTTTGTAAATTCTTACCCAACATGTAACATCTTGAATGATCATGATATCTGTATTAAATGTTTGTCTTAGAATAATTTCCTTAAATATCATCATATTATAGCATTGGTGACACTGTACTGCTAGGGTGACAGTATGTAAAAAAAAAAAAAATATAAAAAAAAAGTTTAAAAATTATAATTTTTGGTTATAAACTAATTTGGATTTTTTTTTTTTGTACTAAAAAGATAAAGGAATAAATTTTGGCCAAGATTTATGATGAAATATTATTTATTTGCAAAATTTTATTTAAAAAAAAAACACTTTTTTTCAAAATTTTTGGGCTTTTTCATTTACATAGCAAAAAAAAATAAAAATCCCAGTGGTGAATAAATACCACCAAAATAAAGCTTTATCTGTCTCAAAAAAATGGTTAAAAAATTAATTTGGGTACAGTGTTGCATGACCGCGCAATTGTCATTCAAAGTGTGATAGCGCTGAAAGCTGCAAATTGCCCTGGAAGGGGGTAAAAGTGTCCGGTCTGGAAGTAGTTAAGAAGCATTCTGATCAACGACATTTAGGTATTAGAAACTGAGAGCGGCTACAGCCACTACATTTCTCGCTTAAAAATGAGCTGTACCTGGGACTGTATGACTGATGTGACATATAATGCAGATTGTCCCCTAAATCTCAGAAGGTCCCTCTGCAGCTTCACAGTCTTAACAAGTGGTATCTCCTTCCAGTTATAAAAACTGGATTAAACTGCATTAAACATACCTAAAAAAAACAGTTTTTTTCTTGTTTTTTAGACAGGTAAACATAAAATATGTATAAACATAGTCGAGTGACGACAAAAAAAAAGACCTAGTGGTCCATCGAGTCTGCCCCATTTTTATATATATATATATATATATATATATATATATATTTAATTTTTTTTTTTTTTTTTTAATAGATTTATTTTTGCCCCAAGTATGTTTTCAGTCATGTGTCCCCTTCCCTTCTTTCCTCCAGACTGTAACATATTAAGTTGCTGAAATCTCTCCTGATATGTTTTATCCCTTTGACCTTTCTCCATTTTTGTTTTTATCTTATCTATCAATATCTTTTTGTCTTAGCTATGTCATATGAATAATTGTAATTATGTGCCATTAGGTGGAACTTTATTCTCCGTTTCATGTTTTCAAGGTGTTTTTGATTCCCCAATGACTCCCCAATTACTTTAGCTAACGCATAGGGCTCTGGCAATTTTTTGTTATGTATGGAATGTTTCTGTGTTCAAAAACTTTACAGGAGGTGTATTAACAGAGGAAAAAAGAAAACTAATTCAGTAACTACATCTAATAATTAGTAAGCTGCAATATATTACATTTTTGGTTTAGGGTTTAATACTTTAAATACTAAATACACTTAACTCTGCTGCATCCTAACTTTTGAACACAATGATTCAGCACTGCAAAATGTAATTGGTCCATTCCATTAGAATACATGAATGAAGAATAAAATAAAAAATACATGTTATTAAATATTATTCTAAACTTCTTCAATCTGTGCTCCACACTTGTCTTCTGTGGATATTAAAACAACCCTATGATGCACACACCTTCAACACTAGCAGCTCACCTTATATTTCGACCTACAAAGATTGGGTCTGTCTGTTTAAGGGAATAACATGCCATGGTGTAGTATAAAGCTTTGATCGATCCTAAGGATTACTCTATGTTCCCACACAGTTCCATTGGATTATATGATGTAATGATGATGATGTAATAAGATTCCAGAATTCCCAGATTAGTGTTTTAAAATAGATGGAGGCTGAAGTTGATATTCCCAGGACCATCGGCATATGGAAAAACCTTTTACTGTCCCCTTTAATACTGGATAGTTTGCTCTGTTCAGCTGTTAGCATC